GTTTTGGGCGTCTGTCCAAACTCCACCCACTTATCGACATGCACGCGCATCACCAACGCACGCGCGTTTATCCACCCCCCAAATCCAACAGCACCCATCTGCTGCAGCGCTATACCGCCTGCTATGCCGCTGGACATCCATCTGCTGCAGCGCTATATCACTTCAAAGGATCGCAAACACTCGAAAAACAGACAGATTCTTGACGCGATTATTGATATTTGCAGTTGTTGGAACAGAATGCAGAAGAGTGATAATAAATAATAATAGTAATAAATAATAATAAATAATTGTGAATAATAAAAATAAATATTGCATGTTATGTACAGATTTAGAGTGGGATCACAGAGGGATTGTTGATGACAAAGAGAGAGAGACAGAGAATGAGGCGGTTGAGAGAGAGAGAGAGTACCAGCCTGCCAAAAGACCGCACATATTTCATAATAATGGAAATAATATTTCCGAGAACTGTTACAAACAATAATTGCAATATTTATTATACAGAATAAATATCGTTGTCAATATAAATATTTTCACTACTGGAATGAAAATTCTTCTGAACAAGGAAAACATATTACATGTCGGTTTGAGAAAAATAAACACCAGAGATATGTGAAGAATTCAAATTCCTGAAAAGATTATAGGAAAACTAGAGAACCAGAGATAGAAAATTCAATTCGGATGCACAAGTCAAGGACAGCGGAACATGACAATAGGAGAGGGAGAAAATAAGATTGCTGTCAATTTAAATGTTTATTCTGCGTTACGAAGAACGATTCCGCGCTGAAATTCCCGCCAAAACCTCATCTCAGCCTATATTTATGCGTTGGGATGGTGTGAGCCATCGTCATTGTTGGGCGTGTCGTCGCGGTGAGCGGTCGGTTCCTTTTCAGGTATCGTCTCCTCGTGGCCTGCACCTGCGCCTACTGCATCCGTCGGTTGCTCCTTATGGATCGAGAGTTGATCATACGCCGGTGGAGGCGAGTCATGAATCAGTGGGTATGTGTTGGGTTCTGCAGCGCTTGGCGACGAGCCAAGTGGGATCTTCTTCGCTGGAATTGGCTCGCCAAGCTGTCCAGGCACGATCACTTGCGCTGGAACGATGGTCTGAAAGTGAGCAATTTCTCAGCCTTTCACTCCCAAACATGCACTTCACTCGTTTCCGCGACACAAAAATTTTGCAAAACCATTTATCTTTTTTAATCTCTTTTTTCAAAACTATTTTTATCTTTCTATCTTTTTTCTATTTTTATCTTTTTTATCTTCTTTATCTTTTTATCTATCTATCTTTTTACTATTTATCTTTTTCTATTTATCTTTTTTTTCTATTTATCTATTTATCTTCTTTTTTTCTTTTTTTTCATCTTTTTAACTATTTACCTTTCTTTTTTCTTTCTATTTGTCTTTTATCTTTTTTATCTTAACTATTTACTATTTACCTTTCTTCTTTTTATCTTCTTTATTTTTATCTCCAGATAACTTTTTCTCATGTAAAATTCCAACAACAGTATTTTCGATATTTCAGGAGAGTTAGTGTACGACGAAATTTGATATTTCATAACACCACGGATATCATCAACGGTGCGTACACATGCTGCTGACGACAGCTAGCAATTGGGGATTCCCCATCGAAGGCGTGGGCGTGGGAATGTCGCGTGGGCGTGGGAACGCCGACAATGACGTCACCCGCAGCGGCAGCAGCGAGCACGAAATCATCATAATGTGACTGTGATTACATATGAGTGACTGCGAAAAATCGGTGAGTTCCGGATTGCAAACGAAACAAATTCCATAGAAACAAGCACAAAAACTCACACGCAGATTGTGATATCTTCTCGCCTTGATCTGCTTGAGAATCGCGATCGATATGGCCAGCATCGAGATGAGACAAAGCAAAAGCGCCACGCACACCAGCCACTGACTCACCGTCGACAGGTGACGAACGTGCGAGATTATGCGCGACGATTCCTGCATCATTCACCTCACATCAGCACAACAATAACTATTCTCGAAACTAAGTCTTTTTTTTGAATATCTTTTGAATTGAGATATTCTTGTGTGTTTATCTCTTCGAGATCAAACTTTATGTCAAAGATTTTGGACCGACGCGTTCCGAATCGAACTCACGCCCTCTGAACAGATCGTCGGATCCTCAAAGCCCAGCGTTACACCACTACACTATCGGCCCATTGCACGTGTTTCTTGTTTGATTCAAGTATTATCTCTTTTAGTACAATCATCATTCTACGCTAGCTTTTCGCGCTAGTCGCGACAATATCGAAATTTGTCAATAAGATTTTCCGCTGAGACGTTCTGCAAATCGAACTCACGCCTTCTGAATGCATCGGATGTTCAGTGTTACACCACCACATAGTGATGGGATCCGAGCGAAATTTTGAGAGGTCGAAAATTTTTGCGATTTCAAGCGTTTATTCTGCGTTACGAAGAACGATTTCGCGCTACTAAAATTCCCGCCAAAACCTCATCTCAGCCGATTTCTAATGTAAGTGTTTGGATGGTGCGAGTCATCGTCATTGTTGGGTGTGTCGTCGCGGTGAGCGGTCGGTTCCGTTTCAGTCGGAATCCGACCGAGTTGGCCATTTTGTCATTCCGACGATCGTAATCAGACTGTCGGAACTCCGGCGGACTGTCGGTCGGATCCCATCACTAACACAGCGCTGTCGGCCCGTTTCACAGTCATAATGTTTCTATTTACTTATTATCTTCTTTCAGCAGTTCACACAATCATTTTCAGTTATTTTTTTGTTGACATTTCACGCAAGCCGCAACAATCATCATAAATATTTAAAATACACCATCAGCACAATCATAACAACAACGATAATAACATAGTATAATATGTAATAGTTTAAAAAATAATACATAACAAACGAACCTGATATGCATTCGGATTCTCACCCATATAGCCCAACAGATGATTATTGATCTCTCCTCCCACGGGTTGCGTGTGAATCACCACTGAGCCATCTGCCAGCTGATTGCCGACACTTGGACCTGAACTCCGAGTTAAGGTTTAATAAATAAATATTAATAGGTCAGGTTTAGACGGTGAGCGGTTGGTTTGTCGACGGCACCGCTCTGTTCGTCATTGTTGCGATTGTTTAATGGATTGTTATTGGTATCCGGCTGGAGTTAATTATGCAAGTTATCCATGGCAATAGGCACTTGTTATTGGTTGGTTGTAGAGCGCTTGATACGCCGCCCATTGCTATGGGTCTACTCGGTTAGATTAATCG